CGCTCCGCCAACGGCGCCTTCAGCACCAGCAGTTCGTTGGCCGACTTTGTTTCGGCCGGGCCGAGGCGGACGACGCGAAGCGTTTAAAATTAAAATAAGGAGCCCCCAAAATGGTATTGGTAATTATTTAGGCCCCTATGTTGGCTCGACTCTAAAACCAACAAGCCCCGACCCTCCAAACGAACATCAAACCAACCCCCACTCCAAACACAAGTCCAGCCCAGCGCCCAGCGCTTCACCCCCCCCCAACAAAAAGCAGCCAGACAACACAACCAAACACCCTAAACACCAAAAATAAGCAACACAAAAAAAAACAAAACCATGCCCAAAACCCACCCCACCCTGCAAAACAAACACAAAAACCCAAAAGCGTGAACACTCTGTCCCAGGCTCCTGATTGATGCTAAGGCTTGGTTTAGTGTATATAGGGTATGGGGCTCACGGACGCCACCAACGTACACCAGCCGTCCGAATCAATGGGAACACCATTCCCCGAGAACCTTCATGCCACTTAAGGGCTGAGTACCCTAGCCCCAAAAAACTAACCTGAAGAACAGTCGGGTTTTAAAGAATGTGTGTGTGTATATATATATATATATGTATGCATACGAATAAGCGCCAACAGGTTAACGGTTACCTACTCAGCACCTAAGGCCATTGTAGACCCAACAATCCTATTTACAGTGCGGGGGTCCAAGTGCCACAGGCTCAGAATTACAATCGACTCCCTAAACCCTAACCCCTGAACCCTAAACCCCAGAACGTTCCAAAACTCATAAATCTTGCTACTACCTTGCTCCGAAAGAAGGGAAGCTTTGAGAACAAAGCCGGACTTACAGTTTAGAGTTTGGGGTTCTGGGTTTAGGATTTCGGTTTAGAGTTTGGGTCTCTAGGTTTAGGGTTTAGAGTTTGGGTTTCCAGGTTTAGGGTTTAGATTTGGGGGTTCAAGGTTCAGGGTTGTGGACCTGAGCTTAAGGCTCAGAGGCTTGAGGCCTAAAGGTCTACATAAGGATTTGTTTGGCCGTTGATCGGGTCTTGTTGGGTGTACAGAAGGGTCATCAGGAAACCGAACCCTAGCGACTCTCAGAAAAAAAACAAACATAAAGTTGGGTCCATCCCCCCATAGAGTAATTAAAGGGAAAGCAACCGTTCGGAACATGAAACATCAGCACATGAGCAAAGCAGGCTGTCGCCTTGAATGAGTTGAGAGATACACGATACAGAGCCACCCCCTGCAGATGGGGTTGAATCTCTCACCCAGAACTCTTAGAGTCTTAGACATTACACGATACTTTGCCCCAACAACCCAGTCGAACTACTAATATTTAAGGATCCTACACCCAAACCCTATGCAACCCCACGCTCCGTCGTAGATTCGACAAGCTTTGTCCGCCGCTACCTTTTCACCCTGAAGCCCCTGAGGCTCCATGTACCCATATAGTAGGTACTTAGGCCTTAAAGGAGTCCCTATATAGGTACTTTAAGGCCTAAGTATCTACTATAAAGGTCATGGAGCCTTTGGGACCCTTAAGCCCCAGTTGAACCTGAACGCAGTCTTTGTTATAAATTGTGCCCGCAAATCTCGCCTAGTTCCGAAGTCCCATGATCCTAGCACCCCTGCACAGCCCTTCTGAAACCCGAAGAAACCCTAAACCCTAAACCCTAAACCCTGTATAAGCGCGTATGAACTCCTGAACTCCTTAATGACCATGCGGTTTAAAACCCTAAACCCTAAACCCTAAACCACTAAACCCCAAGTCCCCCGACCCTCCAAGTAATGACCCTGCGGTTTAATGATCACCCAGAGACCTGACCATGGCTTCTTCCAGCCTTTCTTCATGAGTGGTGTCAGAGTGGTTTTAAGGGGTTTTGGGGTTTGGGGTTTAGGGTTTAGGGTTTTGCGGTTTTGGGGTGTTCACACTCTGAGGATTAGAATGGGGTTTAGGGTCCATGGACAAATCTTCATGGCGTCAGGGAACTTGAACTGAATCTCCCTATGCCAGAACACAGGGTGCAATCACGAAATCTGGAGATTTCAGGCGATTCGATTACATCATGCGTCGATAGAAACTCGAAACCCCTGGAATGTCCTGTCGAGAGAAAGACGGGTCGGTTCTCGGTCTCCTCTGGATTCCAAGAGGGTCCACACATACTACTATTGTTGTTGGGGGGGTTGAGGGTTTAAGGTGACTTGTCCAGGGCTTTCGGCTTCATTTTTTAGGACTTAGGGAGTACTACTATTACGGAACTAGATCCCCAAAACCACAATAAGGATGGTCTTTTGGCTCATTCTACGGTCGTGTAGAAGTAGCTCTCTAAATTAGGCTCCCTTTTTAAGGTCCTTTCTAAGTGGTGCCGTGCTAAATTGGGGACTTAAAAAGGGACCCTAATTTAGAGAACTGCCCAAACAGAGCCCTTATTGTAGTACCCTTATAGAAACTCTATAGAGACCGCTTATAGATCCCTTTAACAAACCTTAAAGAAGGGACCCGAATTTAGAGAACTACCCAAATAGAACCCTTATTATAGAACCCTTATAGAAACCCCTTATAGATCCCTTTCACAAACCTTAAAAAGGATCCTAACTTAAAGAACTACCCGTATATGGAACCTCTGGGGGAGGTGAAGCCAGAGGAGCCCCAGTGCGAAGACTCCGTGTATGCGAAATCCTGAACCCTAAACCCCTAAACCCTAAACCCTAAACCCCTAAACCCTAAACCCTAAACCCTAAACCCTAAACCCTAAACCCTAAACCCTAAACCCTAACACTCAATACCACGAAAGTCAACCCCCTGCATCCAGCCTTTTGGTTTAGGGTTAGTTGTAGGTTATAGGGTTTAGGGTTTAGGGTTATAGGGTTTATAACCAACCAACAACGCAAGCCGAAGGACCCCCAACCCTAAACATTAAGCCCCAAACCCTGAACCCACAGACCCTCAGCATTCATCAAAGGTTGAAGCCATGGGCTCCGAGCATGGGCCCTTAACCCTGGGACCCTTATATACCGACTATATACCCTATATGTACCCTTAAGGGACCCTACAACCCCCCGAAGGGCCCATATTAGGGGCCCATACTTCTAACGTTGGAATTCATCCCCAGTCTGACAGTCTCGCCTCTCCAACATTTCTGGTGAGGCTGCGTTGGCCGCCAAGGAAAACTCCTGCATAGCCTAAACCCTAATCCCTAAACC